TCTTCGATACAAGCTCGAACCCAGTCATCGAAGTAAGGCCTTCGGCAAGCCCTCGATATGGGTGGATCAGGCCCTAACCTGGATGTGTCACGTCGTGATCATTACCGCCTCGAAACTGACATAACCTTGTCTCGCAGAGGAAGATTGATGCCATTGTCTATCCCATGCCTATAACCCGTCATTTAACGGTTTAACGACCAATCCGTATTACAGCAATGATTCAGGTCCACCTTGTTTTGTAAAAATGCTTCAGAAATTATCTATTCATTCATTGTATAGACGTAAATTCAATCAAAAGGTAGATGACGGAGAGAAGAGCGTCATTCTTGTGGGTGGGCGCTGTTTGTGAACCCGCTGTAGAATTTTTCAGTACCTTCTTTTTACAGAATACTCACAATACGATCTAATTACCTCAGAATGGCATGAGGGTTCGTTTATTTCAGGTAGGATCTGTTCATAGTAACAATCAAATAGCGAGTAATCGCCCAATAACAATCCCTCATTGGCATTCCTATGTACTTAGAAATTTATATCCCCAGTACACCCTCGCCTCCCTCCCCGTCCCAATTAACCACCACCGAAACACTCCTGGTTCTTTTTTCTTCTTCTTCTTATTCCATTTTCGGAATGAATGTTAATCCCTTTCAAGGCATACTCATTAGTTTTTACTTATTTATATCTCAGTATACCCTTTATGTGCGTTGGGGATAATGTCAGTACTCAGGTCCTAGCCTCGGGAATCGATTCTGATGGGATACCACCCAAACCATCTATTCCACCGGAATCAATCAGTGGGTATCTAGTACCTTAAGACCTTCGAGAATTGATCCCCGATGAGATACCGCTTACGGGTTCAATTTCACCGGGATGAATCAACTGATATTAGATTGTCTGGGAACTCAAAACGCTGACTTGCACACCGGCTGGTCTACCCAAGTAATGAATCAAACGGCATAGGTGCTGAAGTATTGCTTCTTAGAAATTCCGAATAGGATCCAAATATGTGGCGTATTCTCGAAAAGATTGATCGTTGATGCCGATTTGTTTGTTTTGAGTGTCATACAAATAAACAAGTAGAACGATGTTATGAAGAACAATTTTTGGTCAAAAAAGAATTCTGGGTGCAAAAATAGAGGTTGAAATGATTTTTGACAAATCTGATTTCCGATTTCTTGAGTCACCTCCGCTCCAAATTCTCCAGATTCCATAGTTTTTTCGAATATCTCCATGTTTTCATTCAATTTCAACTTTCCATTTATTTTTTATATTCGAAAGCCTGTTCCGCTGCAGAATTTCGACTAAGTTGGGTTTCCATGCAAAGGAATAACTTTTTATTCGAAAAATCCAAGAACCACCCCTTCTAAATTCCTATTTTAAGCCCTACCTTCAAGTAATTCCGCGGTGGGATGATTTTTTTGCTTCTCAAATGGGTATGTCAAAGTTTGCAGTTCTGATCGAGCAATGGGTGTGTTCATTATCGAGAGAATCCATAGACTACTCAGAGAAGATTCCGGCAGAGTTAAAAGTAGGAAAGGTGATTTTCATTTCATTCACTTGCTACGGTTTTTCGTTAAATTTTCATCAGAGTCAACTGAAAAAGCTAACGAATTCCATCTTGGCGTGATTTTCCTGCGATATGTTCACTATTGCGGGACTCTGGAAGTGTGCGTGGGTTCGAGGGAATTTTTTAATGCAATTTTGTATCACTTGCTTATCCAGTAATCACGCATTGCATGTGGAGATACTAAAAGTTAGTCACTATAACTCACATGGTCAGTATGATCAGAGGAAATGAAATTTTGCGTCACACACACATATACATACAAGCTCGTATAGCCAGGCCTACACAGGCACATACAGACAGACCCTCAAACACACCCATAGGCACGGTCACACCGTTTACTCCTTGATGTAAGTTTTCTTATTGTTATATAAGCCGCTGACAAACACTAATGGTCTCCGCTGAGGTTAGAGCGTCCATAGAATCAATTCCTGTCTGAGAAACCCAGTAAATCCATTCGTTTCCATGAATCGCCTATGAGTATGACAAGTACTGCTCTTAAACCCATAACTATTTACCTAGGGGGAGTGTTGTGTTTCATGGGTAATAACCAAAAAATATGAAAAAAGGCAGGAAAAAGGTAGATTGATTCCTCAAACCTTCAGCATTTGGTCTGGGGAAATATTCTTGGGTTCGATCTGAACGAAGCAGCGGTTGATACCGAAGCCACCATCAGCAATGCCCACAAAAATGTTGACTTCCCTGTTGTTTTCCTGCGACTCAAAGCACGTGGGAAGATTTCTTGAGCTCCCAAATCGTTCCAAAAGATGTTTTCCTCTCTTGAAGCGAATAGGGATCTTATATAGACGCCTGTCAAATGGACGTGCATAGGACATCCCCCCTACTGTGAACAGAGAACAGGACAACCTCTTAGCCTCTTAGCCTCAGTGAATGAATGTTCATTGCTGCTCTCAGAGGCATTCCCTACCCCTTTCGTGGTTCCGCCCATATCCGCTACCGCATTTGAGCGTTCTATCTCTGACTACGATGGCACTTTGTTGATTCGATTCTCCATCTGTCATTACCGAAGGCTTTCCTCAGTTTCATGAGCTTCACTTCATGAAAGTTGTCATTCTAGAGATATCAATAGAATTTAACCTGAACAATTTCCTTACGGCCAAGGTGACCTTCTAGGTACTTCCTGACCCTTGTCTAGTCTGATAGGGCCATCCTCATTTCTATCCCATTCTTATCATCCTTCCATTCCATCTACCAAGCTTCCCAGCAGGGTTCCTTCTGACCGGGATCTCCAGGGATCACTTTTTTAATGGGTTTTAGGAAAAATTTTAATTGCTGTGTGTCTACATACTCTCACTTCCAGACAAGCTCCCTTCGCTGTCAGTGTTTCCATTTTAACAAGCTCACAATGAGCCCTCAGTAATGAATTTCATTGTCAGCCCGAGCCTCAGTTCAATTCCCTTCGTTCCAGTCTTTTGAGTTATTCTTTCAAATAACTGAAAAAGATAATCGGCACATAATTAGTCTAGTCCGATTGGCAACTATTTTGAGAGGAAAGTAGAATCGTCAAAAATATTCACTTTATTCTCGAAAACGGCAGTAAGATATATGAAGGGGAAGTGGAGGGGTCACCAGAGAAGTAGAACAAAAGGCCGACTTTAGGAATTTTGTATTCCCAGAGCCCTAACGGAGGTCTTGAATACTAGGAAAGCTCCCTTCTCCCGAATTTTTTTGGTTGATGAACTTACAATTAGCGATCTCTTCCCAAACGAAGGCAATAACCTCAGTGTTCTTGTTGTCGGGTAGAAATGGCTTTCCAAATCGAACTCGCATAGATTGATTCCGGAGTTCTTTCCCCTCTCAGGATACTGCTCACCGGTGTTACTTGGACGACAGAATAATGTAAACTCAGAGGGGATCCACCAAAAACACCTAAATATACTGGAAGGAATTCAGTTTTTATACTCGAGCATGATCAATCCCCCCGAATTCACAGCATTACTTGAAAAGAAAGTATGTAAGGTTCCAATATACAGTATACAGTAGTATACAAGTAACCCTAAGCCTTGATACCATAGCGATCGGAGCCAGGCGCCCGTCAAACTCAGGCATGATTTGAGGTTTGACTTATGTCCTCCAACAAACGGTCCACTTACTTGGGAGAAATCCTAATTTTCCTGGGGACCAACTCGATGGATGTAGAACTCCATGAGAACCACGGAACCTGGTCGAGGTGTCAAAGTAGCTGTCAATCCTTGTCTGTTTGCGGGTTCACTCTGAAAATACTTTCCGTATGGACACAATGCCGAACTTTCCGTAGAAATGGTTCAATCGAGGTGGCTATGGCCGAGAGCAAAGCATGAAATTGAAATGAAAACTTCAGAAAAAGGAGACGTATGAAACGGAAATGTTCGCAAGCAGACGACCAGTCGTCGCCAAGCGTTCGTCGAGCAATGCCATCAGCCGATCAACGATTAGCGTTTGCGGTATCGGGTGATTCTTGATCTGCTGCACAAGTTTGACGGGAAATGGAAGATTTCGGAGCAGAAGCACTATGGTGAAGAACTTTTTGGAAGTGTCGACTAGTCCTCCTTTCAGCAGCTCCGATGAATCTTCTCGAAGGAGATGAAAGTAGGGATTTTTCATTGTGAAACCGTCCCCTGTTCCCTTTCGAGTTATACTCAGATCATCGGTTGAATATGGTTGCCATATTCATCACACAAGTGAGGATGAAATGGTGGATGACAAACAGCGCTGATGCCCTACGAATTATCTTGGGATTGGATGGAGGATAGAACTTCGCCCGAACCTGCAAGACTTCCCATCACACTGGTGCCATTAATCAGAACCAGGCTCGTTTGACAGAACGAAAACGGTGGTCTGAACCTCAAGGGTATTAAGGGTTTGGGCACGCCACTACCATACGTATGCTCCTCCGGATCGACGGTCACCCGGATTGATACCAACTCAGACCAATCTAGCCTCCAACCCTTCCCGGGCCGGTCGCTGGAAGGATAAAACACTAACTTGTGTATAGGCTGGCCACCGTTCATCATTTCAATTGAAACTCAAACGATTCTGGATAGAAGTCGAGTACGGGGCGCTTACCCAAGACGTGTTGAAGAGCGTCAAAAGGCTTCAGAGATTTTTATACTTCATTTTAAATGGGAAAAACAACTTCACTGTCATTCGCCTTGGTATTCTTTGGGGAAATCGATAAAATTTTTCTATAATCCAATAAACTGAAGAGGAATAATGTAATAGTACACTGCCTTCAGGCCACAGTGTGTTCCCAGCTGCAGGAGCTCTCGTGTTGTTCATTTCATTAGTAGAGAATTTACTTACAATATTGCTTCGCTCAAATTACAAAGTATACTACAAGAAAAGGAGCTATCGATCCTCTTCAGAACAACATTCACTATCTCCCATTTGCGTGTTTTTGTGTGGGCGTCTGGCAGAGGCAGAAAACAACAAATTTAATTACTTCAAATTGTATGGCATGCCTACAAAATTTCAAATTTTATGTTTAATTCCTATAAATTAGGCGTTTTCCAGGCTCTGCTGCTGTTAGACTGGCATTTGCATAGATTTGTTCAACGTCAGTGGAGCCCTTTCTGGTTTCTTTTCCGAAGTGCAGCCCAGTTCTGTTCCTTCCCGTGTCAGTGCCGCCCTATTACTGCTTAAGCTATTTAATTTGTACCTGCATCTTACAATTTGCAAACTAACCGAGCCCCTAGACAAAGAATCTTTTACGTGGGACTCTGTACGATTCGGACATTCTTCGTCTGACAGAAGTTCCAATAGTAATTAAGCCGGCCATTACCAGAACGTTGGCTAAGTACTACGTTATTATTATCAATCTTAACTAGAACCTCTGAAATCTGTTCTGCGTTTCTATGGAGCGTCAGGAAAATTCTCCTATGATCCAATCGAGTATACAGCAGTCGTATTTCAAAATGAGCCAAATCCAACAAAAGCTGTCCGCGCACGAAGCACTTCCTAGCAAGTGGTCGCCTGTTTTTTTTTCGGCTAGGCCACCCTCTTTAGGAACCCTCTTTCCAATCGAGTTCTGGAGTATCAAACATCGAATTCCAGTAGAGCCCGCTACTTCTTTTTCCTGTGAGGGGGCACACCATCAAGCGTTTTCCGTCAGTCATCAATACTTATCCATTCGAATAGACTCAACAATCGGATAACTTATCAGCCTCCTTAGGCTGTCCCATGGGTCCACTCGCAGTGAGCATCAAGTTCGGTAGGTGTACAAAGCCCTTAAAATTTAATTTTAGACCGATTAAGCGTATCAATTTGCAGATTTTCCCCTTTTATCCGAACTACGTTTTTGCTTTGTTTACCTCTCAATGGAAAGGTGACGGTTTGACGGTGGCAATCTACCCAATTCAGAAACCCGAACACACATGAACCCCATATGCCTCAAGTCTTTCCCGAAATGGAGGACAAAATGAAGAACTTCATCGTTTTCTAAAGGCCTAGACATTTGAACTTCAATAAAATATCGGCCACAGCTCGACCATCAACTTGTTCTTAGGGAGCTGAGTCTATCGCATGAAAAACACTTGCGGAAGCCTTGCGCCAGGCCATTGGTAAAGATGGTAATCATAAATCTTGGCTTTTGAATGGCTCCAGATCCAGCAGCAGCAGCAGGAGAAGTAGATGGACATGCAGAAGAAGGGAACACGCATTTATCAACAATTCACCTACGTAAATCTAAATGTCTAATCATTATGCTGGAGCTGTTCGTCGATTTCGTCTGGAGAATTCTAAGATGTGGCCAGTCCCTCATGCCAAAGCTAGGCCGTTCTGCTGAGAAGGAGCGGAAAATGCCTTCCAAATAAGATTTTTTCTTCTCGAAGTCCCAAAACCTTTTCATACAGTAGTTTGTCTCCTTTGTATAATCTCTTTTGTTCGATTTCAGTTACAATTTTAAATAGTGTCGTTTTGAGAGCACAAGTTTCGTGACTATTTTTTGAGCGACTCATTTCTGTGGTTCAACGAGGTTACGGAGAAGAAGGGAGTGCTCGGACAAGATTTCAGCCGCTGCCGAGTGTGTTAGCTATTCGTGTGTATCGACAGGCGTCATTTGGAAAAATCGTGCCTTATTTTGAATGATATCATCCTTTTCAAGACCGATGAACACGTCCTTTTTTGGGAGTATTTAGCAGTAGTGGGTGTCTCAACCGTTTTTGAGCCCTTATTGCGTCCCATAAGGTCGCTTTTTCACCCGACAACGTCTTGAGTGGCCTTTTAAGAAGAGATGGATTCGTACTGGTTGAATTCTTTGATACCATCTTTGTCGTTGACTGAATTGAAGAGATAGGGGGAGAGGGATATAGCACGAATTCTGAGGCAAAACAAGTTGTTCCTCCGAATGTATGAGAATGATAAATGAACTAAAATCCATTTCTGAACGGCGGGTCCAGCCCCAGATTCGAGCTCCTCCTTTGGATGCTCCTCTGAGTAGGGTCCAGACATAACGGCGATGACCATGCTTGCTCTCACATATCAGTTCTTCCGAGATCGGAAACTTTTGTTCGAATTATGCGGCCATGCTTATCTTTGAACTTTTGAAAGCTGACATGAAGCCCCATAGCCAGTCTAAGTATTAATCTTTGAAAAGCCCCAAGTCGCACACTTGTCAAGCATAGCGAACGTCATCGGAATTCAAAAACTTCATAATAAGGATTTCTATTTACTGCCTAGAGTACGTCCCATTAATATTTCGCTCCATTAGCATCATTTTCATTGTAGAACTTCTCATCTATAATATTTTTTACATTTCATTGCAGCCCTGCCTTATTTTCTGATGACTCTCGGTACATGGGCGTGGTCTGCAAGTAGGGTGGTTCCTATGCTCCATAATAGTCCTACAAACCTTAGCAGAATCCTCCGTATCTCTAGAAACAAGTTCGTTCCTTATTGAATTCCAGCGATCAGAGGTGCATGCTGGTCAGGTCGCTGCTGACGGACGGACCTCCAGCCTCTAGATTGTCAAGTCAATCTGCATTGTATTCACAAATTCATCTAGGCGATCTGGGCAATCTGATGTCGTTCTTGCATTCTGTAAACTCCCCCATGAAGCTGTCTAGGCAGAATATTATTTTCTGCAGTGTTAAGAATAATGTTTTGCTTAAATCACTGAGAAATGTGTCATCCCGTGTGTTTGGGCCATGTTCATGACGAAGCGGAT